GAGATATTTGAATTTAAGTCATCTTTATGATCTAAAGAGTTCATTTCCTATGAAAAGAGTGTAACATCAGCAAACAGGTAAGAAACATCACTTAAGAACAGCAACCCTCATGCAAACACGTCCCCCCCACCCCTTCTCTACCTGAGATTGCCTGGATTTTTTTTTTAAATTTTTATTTATGATAGTCACAGAGAGAGAGAGAGAGAGAGAGAGAGAGAGAGAGAGGCAGAGACACAGGCAGAGGGAGAAGCAGGCTCCATGCACCAGGAGCCCGACGTGGGATTCGATTCCGGGTCTCCAGGATCGCGCCCTGGGCCAAAGGCAGGTGCTAAACCGCTGCGCCACCCAGGGATCCCCAGATTGCCTGGATTTAAGACAAACTATTGAAGCTTTTGTCTATTTTCATTTATTCATTAATACAAACTGTTTAGTGTTAATAAGTCCAAAATAACACTAATATTATTTTTAAGATTCTATGAAGTATTAACGACTACTCTTAAGAATACATGTTTATGTCTGATATGGTTAATGTTAACTAAATAACTTTATTATATAAATTGTTGCTTTATCTAGTATATTAGTGTAAAATGTATGCAGTAATATAGATGAGGAAACCCCACTTCCTATGCCTGTGCCTAATAGCAGGTGCTCTATGATGGACAAAGCTTGATGGATATTTAGTAAAGTGTGCACAGTGCCATCTAGTGGTCAACAGTCATCACTGCATAACCTAAATGTCTTCATTTTCTAAAATAATTTGATGGCTCAAGAGTAAACAACATGTTTATACAACTGTCAGACTCTTAAAACAGACTTCTGAATAGCTTCCTTATGACTCAAGTTTGAACCTTGTTTAGAGTTCCTATTTCATTAGGCAAAAGGCCTTTTCAGTACTAATTAATAGATTTTAATGCTTCTTATGCACTAAGCACTTTGCAAAGTGCTTTACATGGATTATCTCATTTGATCTCCACAATAACCCTGCAGTGGAGCAGCTGTTATTTATTTTGTGGAGCAACTATTCTTGTCCCCATTTTACAGATGTGGAAACTGAAACATAAGGACGATAAGTGACTTGCTCAAGGTCACATGGATGCTCAGTAGGAGAAGCAGGTCGAACCTACTGTCCAGAAACCCACACTGTTCCACACTGTGATCTTCACCTCCCAAAATAGTTAGCAGTGAAATAAAATTTTCAAGAAATCTCTATGAAAGAGGGCCTTCCTTACCAGGTCTCTAATTATCAAATATGGTAAAATCGGTTCAAACTCCACTAACTCAGAATTTATGATCGGTAGACTGAATAGTACCTGCTTTTGTGGCTGGTATATAGTTTGGGCTTCTTTTACGTGGCCTACATAATATAGGCTCAAAATTATATATTAGGTTATTGAATTTAAGGGGACTAGGCTAATACTTAGGTTTGGAGTCACAGATCTTGTAAATTAATAATAAGATAGTAGATCAGAAGGTGTTTAATTATTTTAACACCAATAGCTATCATTTGTTGAGCACCTATGTGCCAAACGCTGTGGTCAGCACTTATATATACATTTTCTCTTTTCTCCTCACTACAACTCTCTCTGGATAGTGTTAGTCTCCTCATTTCTTAAAAAAAAAAAAAAAGAAGAAGAAATAATAAAATATATAGAGGAGAAATAACTTGTCCACAGTTTTACAGTTATTAGGGGAGCCAGGAGTGAAACCTCAATCTTTGTGATTACAAAATCTGTCTTTTGCCACTCTTCAAAGACAAATATGTACAATGTTCATGATTACAGTTTTCCTGTGTACTGCCATCCCTGTGCAAAAATACCATCATCTCAGGGCACCTGAGTGGCTCAGTCAGTGGAACATCTGACTGTTGGTTTCAGCTCAGGTCACGATCTCAGAGTCGTGGGATCCAGGCCTGTGTTGGGCTCCATGCTCAATGGGGAGTCTGCTAGAGATTCTCTCTCTCTCTCTCTCTCTCTCCCTCTGCCCAACACCTATCCATCTGTCTGTCTCTCTCTCTCTTCTCTCTCTTTAAAATAAATAAATGAATCTTAAAAAAAATTGCCACCATCTCTGCTAGAACCACAGCAACAGGCTCCAGCCACTTCCCCCATGCAAGTCCATTACTCTCTTCCCCTACAGTCTGAAATGACACTTTTAAGCTGCATTTCTGAGCATGTCACTCTATTTAAAACCCGAATCTTCATATTTTCAGTGTAAAGACCAAAAGACTTGCCAAAGCTACAGTGCTCCTCCAGCCTTATCTTGTTCCTCTGTCCTCTTCACAAACCATCTCATAATCCCATTTTGTATCTAGCACCCTGTCTGTCATGGTAGGTCATTATTTCTGATTATCTGTGTGATTGTGAATCACATCTCTATCCCTGACTGTTAGTTCTCCAAGGCCGGAGCAACATCTTTGCCTTCTGTACCCAGATATATCCTGAAGTACTAGATCCAGAGGATCTATATGTCAAGCATAAAGGGAATAATTACAGGAATCTCAGTTCCTGCAGAAATTAATTTAATTCCTCAAGAAATTAAATAAACAAACAAGCAAACCTATAGATGCCATCTCCGTGGGAGTACCTTGGTCACAAAATTGAAAAACTGGATGAGTAGCATTAAGAAACAAGTAATTTCCTTGTTGTATGATATACAAAGATGGTAACAAATTTGGAATCACATAAATATGAATTTATCCAAATCTAGTAAACATTTAAGTATTTCAGTTAGAAAGTGATTTGTGTTCTTCTGTCCCAAATCAGAGATGTGCTAGAAAGTGTTGTTTGTTTGTTTACATGATTCACATTGTTCATTTGTTCAAGTATAATGTACTGTCTCTGTGTATCAGGCACTCTCAATTTTGACTTCATGATTTGTCCCATTTAAGGAATACCATTTCTGCTTTGTAGATGAGGAAAGTAAAGCTCCAAGTCTTCGAGGCTAAGAGGCCTCTTGTAGTAGAAGAGCCGTATTTGGACCTAAGTCTTTGGACTTCAACTGCAGTGCTAATCCCTACTCCCAAGTCCAGAAGGTCAATAGATGCTAGTTTTGTTTTTTATTTTTTATTTTATTTTTTTAAAAGATTTTATTTATTCATGAGAGACACAGAGAGGCAGAGACATAGGCAGAGGGAGAAGCAGGCTGTCTGTGGGGAGCCTGATGTGGGACTCGATCTCAGGACCCTGGGGTCACACCCTGAGCCAAAGGCAGATGCTCAACCACTGAGCCACCCAGGTGTCCCATGGTTTTTTTTTTTTTTAAGTAGAGTATCAGAAATGAGCAAAGAGGTGGGAAACAAAAGCTTGGGAGTTGGTAGAAAAGCATATAGGGAGTGCACACTGCTCAAGAACTGAAACCTAAGTATATATTTCACTGAGAAAGACAACAGATTTGTTTTCAAATGTAAAGATGTAATGAAAAGGGAACCTTAAATTTGGTGAAGTTGTGGAGAAACTGGAATTCTCATACACTGTTGATATGGATATAAAATAGTACCACTATGTTGAAAACACTTGGGAAGTTTCTCAAAAATTAAACATACACAGGCCATACAACCTAGTATTTCCTTCATTTCCGAGTATTTACCAAGAGAAATGGTTGCATATGTCTATACAAATATTTGTACGTGATTGTTCATAGCAACTTCATTTGTGACAACCAAAAGCTGAAACAACCCAAGCATCCATCAACAGGTGAGTTGATAACCAAATTGTAATATATCCACTTAATAGAATACTGTTCAACAATATAAAGGAACATATTATTGATTCGTGCAACAACATGGGTGAGTCTCAAAATAATTATACCAAGTGAAAGAATCCAGACCCCCCCCCAAAAAAAAGAGTACAGATTATATAATTCCAGCTATATAGAATTCTAGAAAACCATTTTGGAAAGTATATCTGTGGTTGCCTGGGGTGAGAAGTGGGGAGGATTAAAAGAAGCAGGAGAAACTTTTGAGGATAATGGAAATGTTCACTGTCTTGATTGTGATGATGGTTTCTGGGATGTTATAACAAGACCTCAGCACAAACAGGGAAGAAAGAGAAATGGAATTCCAGACTTTCCAAGTGAAAATAACCATGACTTAAGTTTTGTGAGCTAGTCAATAATATAGCCAAAAAACTGTTTGTTTTTGACCAGGGTAGTTAAGTGATCTGTGACTTAGTTCTGTTCCTGCCTTCTAGAGATTACTATTCCTTTTTCCCCTGCCTCTCTTCCTGCTTTCTTTAACTTTCCCTTCTTTATTTCAAACCTTACAGTATGAAAAGTATATAAATAAATGAAAATATTTTAAATAAATGTAGGTTTGACATCTTTTCAAACATTGTGTTTGTTTCTTTTAAAGGGTCAGTGTGTGCAGTGGAAAAATGCTTTCAAGGCAGATAGACTTGTTAATTTTAATCACAAGTGCTATATACTTCGAAGTTGCTAAGAAACTAGATCTTAAATGTTCTCACCACAGAAAAAGAAATGATAATTATGGGACATGACGTGTTAGCTAATGCTATGGTGGTAATCACATTGCAATATAGAAATGTATCAAATCAACATGTTGTGCACCTTACACTTACACGATGTTGTGTGTCAATTATATCTCACTTTTTTTTTAAGTCAGGTAGATGTGGATTTGAATGCCAGTTTTGCCATTGGCTGGCCTTGGACCTTCGCATTTGTCAGCTAACTTCCCTGGTCTTCAGTTTCTTACATGTAGTATAAAGATTGTAGCTATATTTCAAGGTTATTTTAAAGATTAGAAGTAACTAATTACTGTGGTTTTTAGGAAATAATGTTCTTGCTATTACACATTGCACATCAAGTCTTTGAGATCATTCAATGTCTAGATATACTTACTTACGCCAACTCTTACAAGAGTCGAACACATATGGAAGACTATGAGGTGTCTTGACCAAACCGGACAGATGGTACATGTAAAATAATGGATTTACCTTTCCCTGCATTTGGGGCTGATGTGTTCACTCTGCTTTAATTGTATGTAGTGCACCTGGTGGACATTTGGAACGTCATAGAAGCATTGCGGGAAAATGCTCTGAACAACCTGGACCCAAACATAGAACTCAGCGTGGCCCGCTTGGAAGCTGTACTATCCACCATTTTCTACCAGCTCAACAAACGGATGCCAACCACTCACCAAATCCAGGTGGAGCAGTCCATCAGCCTCCTGCTTAACTTCCTGCTGGCAGCCTTTGATCCGTAAGCTCCCTCTGAATATCTCTGTACATGTTTGGTCTCTCCTTCCTCTTGTCCTTCTTGGTCTTTATTCCAAATAATTTTCTAGAGTGACCAAATACCTCTTTTTTCTTGATCAGTTACTTCTCTCAGTAAAGTCTCTCTGTGTCTAACATGAATTTTAAATTCTATAGGAAAAAAACTAGAGAGTAAAATAGTGCCATATGAAGTCGAGGACAATTGTATTTTATATGCTGACCTTTATTTAACTCATCCCACGCTTCCCAGAAGCTATGGATGCTTGAAAGACTTGCATGATGGCATTCCTGTGGAGCAGTTTAATGAAGCATAAGTGGGAGGATGCTTTTAACTCTCTTCTTTGCAGATTGTCTAAGACAGTGTTTCTGAGGTGTCATAACAAGACCCCAGAGCAAACATAGAGAAACTGACAAGGGTTTCTTGACCAGCCTAGTGAAAGTAGCCATGACTTGCATTAAATGGATTGATCAATAATGTGCCACATAAAACAATGTAATGCTGACCGCACATGACAATTGAAACTTAGCCTCAATATCTTATAATTTCCTCTCATAGAATCAGAGAATTTCAGAGCTAGCTGAAATATTAAAGACTGTTCTTCCAAATCTCTCATTTTACAGAAAGAGACTATCACTTGTCCAGTGTCTCTCAGCAGGTTAGTGGCAGAGAAGGGATTTAGGTACTCAGCTACGATTTCTTTTCCAAGGCACATGTGGCAGCCTTGTGAAGTGTAAAAACTCCCCCAAATTACTTTATCAGCCTAAGATTTCAAAAGGTCTTTTACTGATAGCCTCTAGTCTAGATATAGGATCAACCATCTCCACTTTCACTACTGGTTTTGAATATTAAAAAGGAACATTGCTAACTTGACCTTTCAGCAGTTGCATTTTAGGACTCCCGAAAGATTTTGCTTAGTCTCATTGACTGGCCAATGCTTGGGAATATATAAGCCCAGCACTGGAGATGTTCCAGCCAGACTAATGTTATTATGCCACTCACTAAAGTCACCAGCTGTCACTTTACAACCTAGAGTGGTAACAGAATTATTCATGCTCAGTTTGACCAATGTAGATTATTGTCTTGGGATGTTTATATTTTGAGAAATTCTCAATCTATAGTTGAAATAAACAATTCTAAAACAAGCAGCCTGGCTTGATAGATCCCATGCTTAGCCCATGCAGACTTAAGAGCTAATGTACTGCTTTGGTCTGATCGCTATGGTAACCAAGTGGCAGGCAGGTAGAGAAGGCTATGGTTCTACATGACAGGTGATAGAATGGAACCAGGCTATAGAATTGCTATAATGGCATTTCCATCCTACCTCCTTGATAAGACCATGGAAGCTTCCAGACTTGCCACTAGTGTCTTCAGGGAACTATTTGTTATAAGCGAACAATGGAAAATGTAAAAAGAAAAATGTGATTCTCTCCAAATCTTAGAGTATTGCTGCAGGATTCATAAGGACTCAAAGGTAAAAAAAAAAAAAAAATTGTATACATAAATATAGAAATGGGGCCAGATTAACAATAAGGGAAGGAGGAGTTTGTGAAATGTATGAGAGAGCTAATATATACATACTATATTTTATATGATGTAAAATATCATATCTCAGTATTTCTCACAATATGGGAAATATACAATAGAATTATATTTTTCACTTCTGTTTGGAAATATTGGGAAAATCACTTTGAAAAAATAGGGCTGAGTATGTTCTCTAACCAGCTAATCATGATTATTTCAAGATCAATGAATGCTAAGCTTAAGGACTATCTTAAGGTAAGGAGCCATTGACATGAATGTTCAAATGGGATATTTGTTTATTTCTTACTCTTCTCACTGATAAAAAAGGCTCTGATGTATACTTTCAGTAATCTCATCATAGATTTTTTTAAAACATCCACATAGAGAAATTTCATTTTACAGATTTGCAGACACATCCATATAGAGACCCCAGTTTATAGGTTCTTCCGCATTCTTCCTTGGCTTAGCAAATGAGTATAGGACAGTTCTGCTGATACTTTCCATCTGATGGCTTTTGAAATTCTAGATGTGAGATGGGAGCCATAAGGAAGCATCAGTAACTGGAGAGAGAAAGTAACCAGAAATATTCACTTAGAAGTGAACGAAACAAGGGACACTTAAGAATAAAGTGCTTGTTCAGTTCAATTCGTTATGATAGTAAACTCCTGTTTCTCCAAATGAGATCCAGTATGGAAATCTGATGTTGCTTCCTACCACCTATCCCACAACAAAACCCAAGTGTTTAAGGGAGCCTTCTGCAGGTTGGCAGATGTGAATGAGCCTAGTGCATCAAAGATATGTTGTTACTGTAGAATCACTGAGAAACATTTAGGAGATTTTTTCTCATTTGCTGTAATTTAAATGAACATACCAAAACCGGGGGGGGGGGGAATCTAAAATTAAAATGAAAAAAATTAAAATCTGCATTCTAAAGAGGTATCTGTATATATTTTTCAAAAGGAAAGACAGTATAGCGATTTAAATTCACGAAGAATGAGAACTTGTATTCAGAGAAAGGTGGTTATTATTTGGGTAGTGCCTTAAGATTCACTAGACTCAGCGAGGAGGAGTCTGCCGTGGCAATGGTAACTTGAAATGGAGTTCAGAGCCCGCTGCACTTGGCTGTGGCCCTGAAAGCCAGACTTGCCTTCTCACAACATAGTTCGCCAAAAATAGCACTCCTTCCTTCCCTCCCCAAAGACACACCTGGGTCTCAGTTCTCACACAGGCACACTTACTGCAGATGTCAGTTTCCTGGCTGCAAGGTGTCTCACCAGGTCAGCTTCTCAGAAGGTAGAGAGTATGTAGCTACAGACACAGGATGATTTCTAGAAGGTTAGGAGCTAGCATTTGTGCCCAATGGCTATGCCTATGCTTGCCATTCTGTCTCTGAATAGTCCATCTCTAGAGTCTAGAAGATTTTTGTTCTTCCTGACTTTCCTCCTAAAAATGGCTATAGCTAGCAATTACCAACTGACTGCTAGGCAGATCTTTCCACCCCGGACACTATCTTCTCCAGGGTCCCTAGAAAAATGGATAGGTGCACCCAGGAAGTGTGGAAAGAAGTGTCAAATCAGGAAGCAGGGATTGAGAGGGAAGAAGGATATTAGGAAGTAGCCAAAGCCAGTCTCTGCATCTTGTCCCTTTCTTCCATACATTCCCGGATGAGCCTAATGCCTTCCCTTAGATGCTGACAGCCTGGCAGCAGCTTCTCTTCTCACCATTTCTATTATTTTTGAGGAAATTGAAAGTAACAAAAGAAAAACAACATGGAAGCAAGTTACAAGATGACAATTTTTTTTCAATAGCTTTATGGAGGTATAATTGAAAATAATTCTTAAAACTCTATAATGGCCTTTTGGAGAGGGAATGTCACAAGTTGATCCACTGTGAAGCCCAACTCTCATGGTTGAGTTACCTCCCCCTGCCCCAGGTCCCACTGTTCCTTACACATGATTTTGCTATGTCTTACTGTGTGCATGACTGCCTGCCACAAGCTACTGTACAGCGGGACCATGTCTTACTCTTTGTATGCACAGCACCTGAGACAATATCCAGCTCATAATGCATCTGTGAATGAATGAAAGACTGAATGAAAGTCAACGATTGACTCTTCTTAGCTCATCACACTGATTTCTTCTCTTTCTTTTTCTGAAATCAAGTCCTCCTTAATCTCCAGTATATTACCAAGACTGGGGAGTCCAAGTTTGCTCTGATACCTAGATTCATACCCTCTATTTTTACTTCTGCTCTACAAGAGAAGAAAATCAGATATCTATGGCTACTAAAGTAAGGGCATCCGATTTCCACACACACAAAAAAAGGTCTCTTGCTCTCTTCTTACTTCCCTGGGAAACACAAACTTTAATCTGTTGACTTAATCTCATTTCCATTCACTAGAATCTTCCTCCTTAGGGAAGTTCCTCCTAAGGTAATTATGTGACAGTGGCCTTGTTTTTAGCAAATATTATTTTCACATATATTCAGTCATATAAATATTATGGTAGGAAAAATGATAAATATTAAAGGAACAGTGGTGTTCCTATTTTCAGATGTCAAGCTTTATTGTTAATGCCACTTCTCCAATGATAATAATAATATACTAATTGTAATAATAGCTAATATGTTGTCAGTATTTACTGTGTGCCAACAATCTTCCTGGTTTGGCATAATATGATTAGAGGGAGGTTAAACAATGTGCAGGTCATACAGCTTCATACTAGCTGAGGTGAGCGGGGGGAAGAATAATTTGTTTCAGGCATCAGGGTAAGTTCAGCTCTATTCATGCTTTCTGTTTCATTTTTTTAAATGAGAATTAATGTGTGTTTTTTTCCCCAGATCTACCCTACTTTTACAAGATATTTTTATTTGACTCTCATTCCTTACCTTTCCAGTTTGGGTATTTAGATATATCTGAAAGTGTATGTGAAGTAAATTTTTGGACTTAAACGTATTACACTGTAGATTTAGAGTCAGTTTTATGACAGCCATCCAGAACTCCAAATCTATCATATAATGGTCTTTCACAGAGAATACAAAATCCTGGTATTTTCCTCTCTGCTTGACATATTGCACCTTGCTGAGCCATTTGAACATCCATTCCCACTGTGGAGCCTCTCCCCCGCCCTACCCCTGACACTATGAAAGGTACCACAGCACTATTTCAGACGCATGGATATAAAATATTCTGAAACTCTGCCAAAACACTTCTGTCTTTTGAGTTTTAAAAACGATTTTGATGTTTAATGCAAGATGTACTACAAAGTACACAGCCCTTTCTCTGTGCACCAATGAAATGTATCATTGACGTTTGAGGCTGGGAGCATGTGTGAGAGCGAAGGAAGAAGAGAAGAGGTCTATAAAACCAAATGTTCTTCTCTTTTTACTATTTGGCCAAAACTAAATATTTAACATAGTGTTTTCCTGGTGATTTTTTTTCTCACCGCATCTTAAACTCAAGATTT